GTAAAGTATAAATGCAGTATAACTTTTCAAAATGTTATTTATGAGAATCAAGTTAAAATGATGTCAAATATAAAAGTCTTGACTTAATTATTATAAAAATAGTCATGACATGAAAAAAAAGTCATGAAAAATTATAAACAAACATAACATAAAATAATAAATAAACAAAAATGAATATATATATTAAAATATATTTGTTAACTTAACATATTTTATATAAATCTATAAAAAAAATATATAAAATGACAAAAGTAAACATTTTGACTTATCAGATAAAATAAATAGAGCAGTTGAGTTCTGCTTTTAGCTCTGGTACATTTAAATTAAAGTCATGTTTTACAGCCTGTTCTGTTTGTATGGGACAGACTCGGAGGGATTGAACCTGCGTCCTTTCAGTCACAGCGTGGTCTCTGTAAGCTCCGCTAACTAAAAAACAACAATATAAACACATTACGCAACAACAAGCCACCACAGGATTAACGCTTAAGACGTGGTATTACTGCTGCATTGTGGTGTGTGTGTGTGTGTCTCCTTTAATCTCCCAAAACCTATTACACAGAACATCAAGAGAGATGAAAACTGAAGGAAAATCTGGAGGAAAGCAGGTTAAAAGTGTGCAGACACACTGCTGCCCCCTTCAGGCTGAACTGTTGAAACATGCTTTTATTTTGAAATCCTCCTGCTTTATACATATATATGATCATATTTTATTAAGAAGCCTCATTCTGTTTGTTTGTACAATCTAAACGTTTCCTTAAACTCAACACTTCCTGCTGATTGTTTCAAATTAAAATCCATCTAGCAGCTCAAAGATCATCTATCCTCCCTTTCCTCTCAGGCTTTTAATGTGAAACTCAACTCGTACTGTAATGGACTAATCATTTCAAAGCTTTCTGAGTTTAAGGTACAACTCAAACTTTAATGTTTAACATGAGAAAATATCTGAGATAATCAGATAAATAAAGTTATTGAAGTGAATAATGGACATTATCAAACCCCAGTGAAGAGACGTCTCTATGGACGACGGCACACACACTCACCTGTAACACCACTCTCTCTGTGTGTCTGCAGGTCTGTGCGGCTGCTGCTGGGCCTTACGTCCTCGCTACAAGCGGCTGGTGGATAATATTTTCCCAGAAGACCCTGAAGTAAACACACACACACACTCACTTACACTGTAGTTTCACTGATTTACAACAAATGTAAATGTACTCCCACTGATCGCTTTATACACTTTGTGTGTTTGTATAATTTATCTTTTTATGTATATGTACTTACTTTTATTATTACTATTATGTATTTTCTGTGTGTGTGTGTGTG